AGACCCAGAGTTCAAGCCCCATGACTGACAAAAAAAAGATTGCAATCTAGAAATAAGTCAAAATCAAATCTATTCATAATTTATTTTCAATTTTTGTTATAGTTTATCAAACCTATGTTTCATAATCCTATGAAAGTTTAAGTTTAAAACAATTTTGCTTTAATGCTTTATATCTGAAATGAAACTTTAGATCTGATGAAATATAACATTTGATATTCTAAATATTTATTTTTATCAAAATGTATGTCCACACACAAAAACTTGTACTTCTTACTCTAGTAAATATATTATTTTTATCCTAGAACTTTGTGACAAATGGTTTTAATGGTTTGCCACTAGATCAGAACTTTAAGAATAAGAACAATATTTGTCATATAATATTTAAAAACCATTTTAGTAAGTTAATGACTCTTTTTTAGATATAACACCTGGCAGCACCTCACATATTGGGTAATAATAAATGTTGATTAGTGACTTAGTAAACAAACACTATGAAAGATTCACTTGGGATTCAGATATTGTTGTTTTCAGGTTCTTAGTATGTTTTGCTTTAAAATACCAAATTAAAATGTTCTTCAGAAAAAAAAATCACATCTTAAAGAAATTTTGTAATGTCAGCAGCTAATAAAAATGAGCAGCAAATAAGCCAGGTGCTAGTATTTCACACCTGTAATCCTAGCTACTCAGAGGCTGAGATCTAAGGATTGTGGTTCAAAGCCAGCAGGTACAGAAAATTTTGAGACTCTTCTCCAATTGATCACCAGAAAACTAGAAGTGGAGCAGTGGCTCAATGTGATAGAGTGCTAGCCTTGGGGGAAAGAGCTCAGGGATAGTGCCCAGACCTTGAGTTCAAGCCCCATGACCAAACATCACCCCCTACCCCCTTCCCCCCACCCGCAAAAAAAGAATGATAATGCTAGCTTACCATGTAGGCTTCCTATCAAACGTATAGTCAGATACAATTTAAATCCTGGTGAAATCCACATTTCTTCATAAATTTTTCATTCTCTCTTTTTGTTACACTGTATCTCCAGTTGTAATGTAACAACTACAAAATAGGTACATATTCTCCAGACTAGGCTCTCTGGCAGCAGTTGTCTCACAATTCTCTCTGAAGAGATTTTGAGCAAGAAGCCTGAAGACAACCTCATTAAGATCCAGGGCTATTGAACATTTAAAGATCTTCTCTTCACTGTTCCATTTGAGACAAAATCCTATTTTACTTTCATTAAAAATTCTTGAGGGCTGGGAAGGTAGCTCACTGGTAGAGTGCTTGCCTTGCATGCATGAGGCTCTGGGTTTGATTCCTCAGCATCACATAAGCAGAAAAAGCCAGAAGTGGTGCTGTGGCTTGAGTGGCAGAGCACTAGCCTTGACTGAAGAGGTGAGGCACAGTGCCCAGGCCAAGTTCAGGCCCCATGACTGGCCAAAAGAAAAAAAAATTCTTGAACTCTGTGGCAAAATATGCCCCCTACAATTATGATGTAATCTTTTATCATACATACATTGTTATTCTAAACATAAAAGAAAATGACCATTTAAGCTTAAAATCAATGAGAAAAGAATCTCAACAGACTGGAGAGATGATGGCATATAAATATGGAGTTTATATAGGTAATGTAACAACTGTATTTGTTCATTCCAATAGAAACACAAAGAAAGCTACAGCTACAAGTACAATTTTACTTTTTACATTTAAACTGTTTGTATTGTGATAAAAGCCATTTTGTGTAATTTAAAATTTTCTAGTAGCCACATTAAGAAAGTAAGAAGAGCCATATAGGGCTGGGAAGGTGCCTCAGTGGTAGAGCGCTTGCCTTGCATGCTCCAGGCCCTGGGTTCAATTCCTCAGCACCACATAAGCAAAAAGAAAAAAGCTGGAAGTGGCGCTGTGGCTCAAGTGGTAGAGC